ACTCACCCACACCCACACTCACCCACACCCACACCTTTATCTATGTCAGAGAAGCTCATTTACATAAAGTATTTGGATTTCGAGCAATATCGATAACTTGATTAAAGTACTTATTTTCCATGCGAAAACCTCAAAATATTTTTTTTTCTAGAAAAAAAATTGCGTTTTTTTAGCAGTCGATGACAGAAAAGAATTAAAAACTTTGTCAAAAAAGGGGTGCCCAATAAAAAATCATAGCCTTTCTGAAAGAGCAGAGCTTGGGCTATCTTCTCATGCATTTATCTCAATTTCGATTTTTCTGGCGAAAATTGACTTTTTTGAGGGGGGGTGGGGGGCTTAATAAAAAAAGAACTAAATTAAAATAGTATAATTCTCATTGAGCTATCACCTTAAGTTCTAGTCTAATTTCAAAAATCCATTAGCGCATTCAGTACCAAAAGCTGCCGAGATAATGTTGCGGGTAATGATAGTTTCAAGTCTTTACTTTTGCCTTAATTCACAAACGTATTCTACTCATTCAAATTTCAATAAAGGTTTCGAAATGTTTTAGCAGAGTCTAGCTCTTATTATTAATGTCATTCAGCGCCTTTTTCCGTTGTAAGAAAGCGCCTTATTATCGTCAGTTACTATGAAAACGTACACCAGGACCGTTGTCTTCCGCACCATTACTAGGAAAAATATACTTAGCGGTTTCTGGTCTTGACCTCAGTTGCTAAGACCTACAGAGGGAAAAAGCTATAAAAACTTCGATTTAAACTTATTAGCTTGTTCGAAAATATGACTTCTACAAAAACACTTACAGTAACAAGTACATCTGGCCGAAGATTTGGTACTTCTGCTGCCATTAAATGTCGATCTTCTTGACGTGAAAAATCTCCTGTATATAAAATCTAAATATATAAAACAAATAAATCAATGAATTCTATGTCATATAATTTTTTGTTTACTTTAACACCAGCTATTTCAATCATAAACATCGCTGCACCTAAAACATGACCTGCATGATAACACCAAAATTTAATACCATTCACTTCAATTTCCTAGACAAAGAGAAATATAAAATATGAAAATAAAAGATTGTTTTGGTTTTTTTTTTTTTTTAAATTTATACTTGATGAAAATTAATTGTTTCAATACGTGGCATACTTGCTGTTAATTCTGTTTCTGTATAAAGCATTTCTTCTGCACTTACATTACTTAAAAATAAAATAATTCCCAACAAAAATATAGATTTTAAACAAAAAAAAAAAAAAGTCTATATTCTACCTAACACGAATACAATCTGATAAAAGCCATTTATAGATTGCTTTTGTTGCATGAGTCATAAAACAGCGTCCTTTAAAATTAGTTTTATTCAAAAACCAAGGCAATGCACCACAATGATCAAGATGAAAACTAAATATTTTCAAATGAATAATTTAATAAGAAAAATTAATTAAAAAAAAGAAAACAACAACGAATTTCTTACTGACTAATAAGTAATAGATCAAGTTCTTCTGGATCAATATTATCAATAAATGGCAGTGCAGTACGACCAGATAATCCTGGATGAATACCAAAATCAAGCTAAAGAAAATACAATCAATATAAACATTGGTTTTTTTTTTTTTTGTTTTCAATAACTCACTAAAATTTTTTTTCCTTTAAATTCTAAGTAAATACATGATCGACCAACTTCTTGTCCAGCACCCCTAATTTACTTCATAAATAATAATCAAATGAAAAACAAACAAATAACTTACAATGGTCGAATAATTAATTTATCACTATCATCATTAATTGGTTCTTTTCGTTTATTTGACATTATTAGAAATCTTTGATTCGATTATTAACAAAAAAAAAAGAAGTTCTTCTTTAGATGATCTTTAAATATGCAGGAGAATGTTTTATTAAATAAAAACAAAACAAACACAAACATACAATGAAAATCTTTTATTTTTTCTAAAATTGATCTTTTTTAAAGAATTAAATTAATCTGAAATAAGACAAAGATATTTTTATTGGTTTTTTTTTATGGCGTGGCACTTGACTAGATAAAATGTTTCTGATGACATAGGAGAAAAAAAAAAAGTGCATTGATACAGAGATCATGGTTTGTTTTGGTTCTAAATATCAAACGAATAAAGGGAAAAATAATAATTGCCTAAATATGAGGAGACTAATAAGTAAAGTCACATCAAATTATTCCTTTGTTTGTTTGTTTTGGAGAATCATTCATGTTTTTTAGTTGTGCCATTTTGTTGGAATCGTTTTGTTACTGTTGATCCATCATTTGATTCTTTATAATTGTTTTCTAATTTTTGTTTACATCGTTTACGTTCATTACTTTGAGTTACATATTCATGAATATAAAAATTCGTGAAAAGTATCATCATAATTATCATATAACCACCTAACATCCATAATCCCCTATAGACAAAAAGAAAATTTAACTGTAAAATAATTAATAATAAATCAATATTATACCAAAGTGGATAATTGCAACCACTTAAAATTGCATAAAATGTATGAATGAAAATAAGAACAAATTGAATCTAAATTTTAAACAAAAAATCAAAGATTATTACATATCATATTGATTTCGAATCTTGAAAAGTTCTTTTTTTGTTTCGACTAGCATGCATTGTATTTATTGTACTAACTGTTAATGAGTGTGAAAATCTACTAGAAAAGTAACTGTCAAGATGACAGGAAATGTTAATGAGAGAGACAAGAAAAATTCAAGTGACATGAAGATAGGATACCGTAGACCAAGAAGATTCAAAATTTAATTTTTTTGTCAAGTTCGGATATAGAAATTAAGCTTCTATTAATTCAAGATGTCTTGAAATTTATTTATCAATCTATAGAGTAGTATACTATTTTTTGTTCAATACCTAACATATGAAGACTAAATTTGTCATGATGTAGGAATAAAAATCTTTGCTGTTTTACTAAAATTGTAATAGGCGTGTTTCATTCAAAACCTAACACGATAAGGGTAAATCTGATTTTGATGTTATCTGGGACTTAAGGGTTTCAGACCATGCTCTTTCTTTTGTCTAGCGGGCACTTTTCTCCAAAATGCTCGAAAGTAGGGTTTCTAGAAAACCATGGTTTTTGGACCAATGGTCGCGGAAGGTTTTTTGTTTTAACAGCCTATAATGATAGAGCAACCAATTCTCTACAAAATGAGATGTCTCCGAGCTCTCTATGACGTTTTTTGGTTGAGTTACATCAATTTTAGTGAAGGGCAAATGCCATTTTTTCGTTTTTCCCAGAGGAGATAGCAGAAAAAATGGCATTTGCCCTTCGCTAAAATTGATGTAACTCGACCAAAAAACGTCGTAGAGAGCTCGGAGACATCTCATTGTGTAGAGAATTGGTTGCTCTACCATTATAGGCTGTTAAAACAAAAAACCTTCCACGACCATTGGTCCAAAAACCATGGTTTTCTAGAAAACCTACTTCCGAGCATTTTGCAGAAAAGTGCCCGGTAGACAAAAGAAAGAGCATGATCTGAAACCCTTAAGTCCCAGATAGCTTTACATTCAGGCAAGACCGAAAAAAGTTAGTCTAGACCAACTTTCGAATGAAACACGCCTATTCCAATATTGATTGCGAAAAAATTTCTTTTAATGACTTTGCGGTCGCCGAAATTTGATGAAAAGCTTTATTAACAAATGAACAACAATTCATTGAGAGACTTAAAAACTTTTTGTTACATATAAACATTGTTTAACCAATGTTTTTTCGTTTATTCTATGTTGTACTCATTGTTTGATATCAACTTTAGATTTATCACAAATATGACTATGAGTTAAAAATAGAAAATCATAAACTTTCGACAAGCTGGTTCAGAAAAATCAGTAGATTGTGTACAGTTTTGTTACTTTACAACCTGGTTTTTAAGTGAAAAAATTATTTTTTTATAATCAAAATTATTTTTATTCTAATAATTTACTTACAAGTTGAAACAATGTAATATATCGTTTCCACCAAAGTTTGTTACGTAATGATGGAATAACTGATAATCCATAATATGCATACATAAAAATATGTACTGTTGAATTTAAAACCGGACCAAACCATGCTTGACCACCCTAGATATAATAGAAAAATAAAATAAAAAAAAAAAAAAGAAGTTTTTTCTTCATTTGTCTTTTCTTACAGGTATCCATGTCATAACAATCCACCATATAATAAGCATTGATGAATGATGAAATACATGTAAAAATGTTATTTGTGTAAAACGTTTTCGAATAACCATAAATATTGTATCCATAAATTCAATTGCTTTAGAAAAATAATAAAACCATAATATATTTGTTACTTTCATTTCATTTTCATCATTTGATACAATTAATGGTTGACAAAGTAAATTATATTTACTAAGATATATACCAACAACAATCTTAAAATATTGAATAAAAAACAAATCAATAATACTATAAATAAATTGAAGATATAAAATTTTTAACTAACTTCTTCAACCATATAAATTGATAAAGCAACAAGTGACATATTATAAATAAAAAGTATCCATGATGGTACATGAAATGCTTCTCGATGTTGCATATAACGTGGACCTAATGTAACAATTGTCAAATAGATAAATGCTAATGTCAATGCTGGAATTGGATCTGTCCATAATAAAAACCAATCTTTTGTTCTTGGATCAGCATGTTTTAAAGCAAGTTTATATGAAGGTATTTGTTCTTTTAACCAATCATTTAACCAAGTCATTCTCTCAAATATGATCGTCGATGAAAAACAAAAACCAAAAAAAAAAAAAAAGTTCAAGAGAATGTTTTTTGTTGATCTAAAATTTTATTCAAACGAGATTATTATATTTAAAATATGAATTATATTATTCACAAATAGATATAAAATTGTTAATATACTAAAAAACACACACACACACACACACTGTTTTCATAATGAATATAAGACAACTAAAAATAAAAAATAAAACAAATATTAGTAGAAGCTCATTTCTTTTGTCTAATATTTTTCATTTCTTAATTAGATGAATATATATGTGCAAACATTGATTCTGGTAATATAAATGAATCATCAATAGATATTCCACTGAAAAAAAAAATTACCAAGAAGTCAATAAAAATAACTTAACAAATGATTTTACCTTAATTCAAGATCATATTCATCCATATAAATAACAACTTCATCGTATAACATTAAACAAATATTATTATTATTGTTAGATGAACGAGACGATGAAATTGAAATATTTTTTAAATGTCCTTCACGTATCAGATATTCTTGCTCATCTTTTTCAGGTATGTACTAAAAACAAATATATATATATATATATATATATAAATTGTTATTCAAATAAGATTCATTTATCATAAAAATTCTCTAGGATCGACATTTGTTTCATAAGGACGTTCGTAAATCTTATTGAAAAAATGAATTCTAAAATTGTTTGACCTATTTTTTAATACTATAGTATCGATCAAAAATATAACATCAAACATTTTTTTGATTTTTGTTCCTATAATATCAAGAATTTAAGTCAAATGAAGCTCTCTATCAAATACATAGCGTACAGAAATTCCATAGATGGATTATGAGTAGAAGGTTTTTCAAAAACTTGAACATGAATAATTTTCAGATCTCACGTTAGAAGATCGAATGAAATTATATTTTTAAATTAAGAATGTACAGTTTCAATTTACTAATCATTGGCGTCATCAATACAAGGTAAATAATATGTGAAGACTAAATAGGGCTGCCAACTGTACCCCATTTTGGGGTACAATACCCCATTTCGTCATTTTGTACTCCAGGAAATTTTGTACCCCATTTAGATATTTGAGCTTTTATTGCTATAAACAAGTCTTTGAATCAAAATCAACTATATTTTCGATACACCTTACATCATCTTTCTAGAGACGTTTGCATAGGATAATATTGATAAATAGTTGAGAAAGGCAAATTAGCAAACATTTTATTCATTTGGTTTTCTCTTAACCTTTTCTGTTTCGCGAGATTGATTTCAATCCCAAAATCCAAATAAAGTTTGACGACTCTTCCACTTTTTGTCTTTGTTTTATTGTTTTTATCAGATCTAACTGACACATAGTATTTAAAAAACTAATTTAGATTTAAGTTTCTACTGAATGAAAAATAATATCAATTTTCATTGGGATTCCGGCAAAAAAAGCTGAGATTCAAATTTATGAAGAGTCAGAATCAGGAACGATAGCAGTTCCTGAAACATCCTGTAAATCTATTGAAAAAATCGACTGCAAGTGTCACAGAAAATGTGACGATAAGAGGGACAGCGGACCCGTCACAATCCCTATTTTGAGAAAATACACTCTTTCTCGACAAAAGTCTTTTTTCTTATCGAATAATAGTGTAGAATAAAAATGAATTCTGTATCTTATACTTTTAAAAAATGACAAGTGCACTTTTCAACTTCTTAAAAAATCACTTTTGCACATCTTCCCACGGTTTTTTTTCTTGGGTATTTTCTTTCCAGTGCCCCTAATATGTACTGTTTCGTCCAAAATGTAAAGGTAACGAGGGAACCTCCCCAGCTGTTCCCTTTCCATTTCGATGATTTTTTGTCTGTAGATACTACACAGTGTGCTAGTAAAAATCCTAATAGAATTTCGATTCCTATTGAGATTTAGCAAAGCTATTGAATTTTTAATATATCTAATCATTTAGGACCCTAGGTCTCAGGAAAAGTTTTATTTTCGAATTTTCATCTGAAACTTTATCCATTTAGAGATCTCCAGTAGACTAGCTTCCATAAAAAAAAATTCAGAAGTTTTTGAACAGAGTTACTTCCAGATACATGACTTTCAAAAAATGTATATTGTATACTCTATTTATGGAAAAGACCTTATATGCAGAAAATTTAACATCTTGGAGAGACTTTGTTCACAATTTCTGAATGTTTTTTATGGAAGCTAGTCTACTTGATATATCTATATGTATAACATTTCAGATCAAAATTCAAAAATACAACTTTTCCTGAGACCTAGGGTCCGAAATAATTAGACATTAAAAATCCAATAGCTTTGCTAAATCTCAATAGGAACCGAAAGCTTTTAAGGGCTTTCACTAGCACACTATGTAGTATCTATAGGCAAAAAATCATTCAAATTGGAAGAGAACACCCGAGGAGGTTCTCTCGTAAGCAATATCTTTGACATTGTTCTTTTTCTAAAGCAGATCTCTCGACTCCTAACGGAGGAACTATATGATTCACCGACACTCCAAGCAAGCTACTCGTTAACGCATCGTCGAAACTGAAACTAAAGACAAAATGTACTTCTTTCTACAGTGAAATGGTTTTTAAAGTAATGCTGTTTCCTCAAAAGACCCTTTTTTGGCTGTTTCTCACCTACCACACCTCTGTTTCAGAAGAAAATGAGGTACCCCAACGGTGTACCTCATTTTAAAAAGATTTGTACCTCAACTGTACCCCATTATAAATCTTCTGTACCCCATTTGAAAATTAGGAGTTGGCAGCCCTGAGACTAAATGAGATAATCTCATTTTCTATTTCGAAACACTTTTAAAAAGTCATTCGAAACAGCATTTTTCCGTCTATAATAATGTTTCTTTTTGTTTTTCAAATAAATTTTTTTCTTGTTGGAGAAAAATTTAAAGTATGAACACTTGCTCGATCATCTGGGATTTTTGGCTGATATCTATCGATTTGTGTAAGTTTCCTGAATAATTATTCTCGTCAATATATCTTCTGAAATTCAGAAACATTTATCAAAAGATGGAGATTTTTGTAAAAAAAATATATTGATCAATCGGCAAGCTATTGTTAAAACAATTTGCATTACTTTTCCATTCTTTTTTTTGACTGTCGCAATGATACGATTGAATACACGTTTGTATTTGATTTTTTTTTCTCCAACAAGAAAATTTTATCGAATCACTTTTTCAAAGTACATCTGAACGACTCAAAATAAAAAATTATATGGTGCCGTTGATTATCTTTTACTAATGTTTGTATAATAATACTCGAATGTTTCTTAAAATAGAAAACCTATAGAAATTGTATTAAATTTATCTATATTTAAAATTGGAATATATTTGCTATCTCATCAAGACAAGTAGTTTATCTTATTCATTTTATCAATAAAAATAGTTCATTTAGTTTAAATGAAAATATTTACTTTGAATAAATGACTATATTTCTTTTGAAATTGTTTTAATGCTTGTTGATTTGTCATTTTATTACCATTATTGTGATTATCATATTTACCGGGTATAATATGACTAATAACAAATTTTGTTTGACTATTTATTGTAACTGATGTAGATATAGATGAACTATTGCTCGTATTTTTGCGTTTCCGTCTATAATAAAAAAAAAATTCTTTTTTTTTTTGCTCAAACAATTTACTTTGCATTGCCATTAGTTGTAATAGTTATTGGTGGAATAGGAGAATGAACGTTTGTTGTTAAATCATCTGTTGTTTGTGCTGGTAATATTGAACTGGCTGAGTATGTAGCTAAAGCCTACATAAAGTATATTGTGAACAAACAAGAAAGATACGCCCGCGTGGCCTAATGGATTAAGGCATCGGACTCCTAAATTTCTTTTGAGTAGAGTCATCCGAAGAGTCCGGGTTCGAGTCCCGGCGCGGGTGTCCACATATTTTGTTCCTGCGCTTAATTTCTCTTTCCTTTTCTTGCTTCGTTCTGTTCTGTTTTTCTTTTTTGCATTACTCCATATGATAACTGTCATAAGGAACATATTATTGAGAAACAAATGACGGATGACAAAACTTTCTTCTTTGTTATAGGAAAAATAATTTGTAAAAAAATATCCTTGCCCACGTGGCCTAATGGATTAAGGCATCGGACTCCTAGCTTTGATAATTGAACTGAGCCATCCGAAGAGTCGGGGTTCGAGCCCCCGCGTGGGTGGACAAAAAAAAATTAATATTTTACTTTTAATACAATAAATATTCTAATCTTTATGTTTTTTTTCTTTTTTTTCTCATCAGTTTAACATACTTCAGTTACCATAGCACATAAACTTGAACGAATAGTTTCATCAGTTGTATTGGGTGCATTAACTCGATCAAAATAAGTCTAATAAAAGAAAAATCAACATTTTTATGTTTTATATTAATATAGTAAAATTTCATATTTACCATTTTATAATTATCAAGTAATGCTTTAAGTTCACGTTCTAATGGTTTATGTATAATTAAACGTATAAAATCAATCCATTCAGCATCAGTAATTGTAGCTTTTGATGATGATTGACGTTGTCTATACAAAAATAATAGATAAATGAAAATAAAACTCAATCTGTAATTACTTGAGTAAATTTATTTGATTTACATGAGTAGAATTATAAGACTTTTTATGTTTTGTGTCTGATGGTGGTGGTACTAATAAAGTAGATGAAGAATTCATTAATGTTTCAAGAATTTGTGAACGTTGACTTGCAGGAAGAATCTATGATCAATAAATAAAAACAATCAGTTAATAGAAACATAAAAACTAGTTAAATTTCTTTTATCTTACAAATGGGATAGACTGATGTGGACAATCTTCTGATGATGATGATAAACAACAATTATTTGTAGATTTTTTTTGTTCACGTTTTTGATTAGAATTTAAAAATTTTTCTTCATCTGTTGTATTTGTTTCTGGTAAACGTAATGGTGGTGGTAGTAATTTTTTTGATCGTGCTGATGAATTTATTTCCATTTGTTGTAAATCAACCGATGTCATATTTCGTATTTGTTATTTATGACGATCGTCAAAACTATGTAGAAGAAGAAGAAAAAAAAAAAAGAAAAATATTATTATGGAAACGAGGCTTTTTTCTTTTCTAACATTATAATACTGATGTCGATGTACTCTAAAATGTAGTGAAAAAATAAAATTTACCATATAGTTCACTATTGATCCGCCAGAGGGTGCTACACTAGAAGGATAAATCTTAAGTAAAGTTTTCTTTTTTTTTTATTGTGAAATACAAAAAAAAAAAAATGAAAAGAATTTTTTTTATGTTGTAAATTGATAAATAATATTAGCTATAAATAAATTATTTGTTGAAATTAACCAATGATTTTACAGATAAAATGTCTCCATTTTAATATTTTCCAAGGGTAATAGCCATATGCATGAGTCATTATATCAATGTTGAACTAGAAATATTCATTCATACACTTAGAATGAAACTCATTTTGAAAAAATGCTATTTACAGCATATGAAGTACATCATTGACAAAGATTATTTATGACATGTAAGGCTTTAGATCGACTAAAATTAGAAAATTAGATTTTAACGACATCTCATGTTTGGATTATTCATAGTAGAATCACAGTAATGTAGAACTGTCCTTTTTTGTGTGAAACTCCTTTTTACTAAGTATAAAAAATATCAGTGAGTGTAACACTGAAATTAATATATATCGAATATAATTTCTTTTACTTACGTCTCAACGAACTTCAGATGTCACTTTCATAAATGCATTTCATATAGATTTACATTTCTCACCATAGTTTATATCACAAGGTCATATACGAAAATAAAAAACATTATATTAACTGATTTTTATCAGCTGGATATCTCCATCTCAAAGAAAATTTTTGTATCTAAATGAAACATTGAAAAACAAATTATGATGAATGATTGTCTTATGAATCATTTAGTGTAATATTTAGTAAAACTTTATTATTAATTAATAAAAAAATGTCGAGACAAAATGAGAAATTAAAATTTTGATTAATAGTTATATAAAACTGTTTTCATAATGATACTTGTAAATTTATTCGTAGTACATCGAATTCATTAATAAATTTAAATTTTTATATTTTCATTATTGTTATATATGATAGCCATGTTTCTCGAATGTTTAGCATTACATTAGATATCGGTAGTCAATAAGATTCTGTAGCCGACTTGGTTTTATTTGATATTATATTAATAATTTTGGCTCAGTGAATTAACAAATTGAATTCTTTTTTCTGTTTGTTGTTTTTGATAGTTTGTGAATTTTATTTTACACAAAACAGTCCATAGTATTCTGCCATTTGTTTAATTTTAGTTGTATTAGTACATGACGTTTAGTTAAATTTAATATTCATGTATTACAAGAATATTTTAATGATCTTCCTATTCTAGCTGTTGGTGTAATTGTTGTATTGCTTGCATTAACCTCATTTATATATATATATATATCACTCCTTATTATAATTGGCTTTGTAATCTTAATGATCTTTTGACTTAAAATTCGAGCATTATGTAGGATTTGCTTGCTACTCCATATGATGACAAGATCTTTGTTTTGTACTGACATTTTTTTCTATTTAGAAACCAATGTACTTTTTATTTTTCTCTACGAAACGAAAAAAAAAAGATAATTGTAACTTTAACTTAATTTAGTATTTATAATAAAATAAAAATTCATTTTTGTGATATGTTTTTTTTTTGTTTTATTTTTTAACACCGATTTTTCTGTAGAAAACACAAAACAATGATAATAATAATAATAATAATAATAATATAACTAGGGCACATAGCAAAAATAAACGAAACTTGTCGTTTAGTTGAAACAAGATAAAGAAAAAGAGAAAATAAATCATAAAAAATACGCAAAAGATATAAGGTAGACGTCTAAAGAAACATCTATATACCGATAGTACAATATCATCTATTATGGTATCCTTTAACGCTAGAATCATATAAAAATACAGAGATAAATGAAGAGCTGAGAACATGAATCAGAAGAGATGAAGAAAAAAAACAAATCCAAAGTCTACAAATTACATTTATATACAAATCTATTTCTTTTTTTAACTAAAACATATGCCACGTTGACACGCTTCACAATGAAATTTATCATGTGGTGCACGCATTCTTCCTGTTCGTTGATTACGATCATGACGTGAACGTTCAGAAATGTTATTAATATTTTTAATCGTTTCTGTACGTTGTAAACCATCATATAAAATAATTTCAGGAAAAAATGAACTAAATATTGATTGAGCTAAATTTTTAATCACACGACAAACTTCCTCTAAAATAAAGAAAAAAAAGATATTATTTTTGAATATATTAAAACAAATAAAAGAAAGTTTTTTTTTTTTAAATTAAAACATACCAGTATACCACAATGCATCAGCTAATGTTTCACATTGTTGGCAAACTTGTCCGTAAATTTTAAGTGCAACGAAACCATTCGGTTGTGGATGACTAATTTTAAATGATATTCGAGCTCGCATTGAGGTCCATAAGCGACCACAATAGATATTTGGACATTTGAATTGTGCCTTTGCATTATCAAGTTTCACAAAAGCAAAACCAGGCCATTCACATGGATCACCATGTAATTCACTTTCAGCAAAAAGAGAATATTTATAATCAGAATAATTCAAAGCCAGTGGACAGATTATATCACGAGCGAATTCACCATGAAATACTTCACATGTATTCAAGCAAATATTCTTTTTTTCACTATCTGGTACTTTTTTAGCAAGAACAACTAAAAAACAAACGACATTTAGTGTTATAACAGTATAAGATTTATTGATTGATAATAATCAAATAATAGAAAAACAAAATGAATATTGTACTTACGATCATTATAAAGATCTAAAAGTTGTTGATATTTTTGATTAAGAATATGAATTGGATTGGCTTCAAAACCTTCATCATCACAAGCACCAAATTGTGTTAATGGTTCTTCATCATCAATATTATTTGATTGTAATCGAACATGATTTATAACTTGTTGATCAAAATCTTCAATACCTGAATCATTATCACTTGTTGTTTGATCATATTGAATTAATGAATTAGTTATACGTCGATGATCATCAGTTAGTACTTGGATTATATTATGATCTTCAGCTGAAGAACATCGACGAAGTTTCGGTCGAATCACTTTATCTTTACTTGAATTACCTGCTACAACACTAAGTTGACGATGAACTAATAATGAACCGGTCATGTTAACTATTTTTGTTTTTTGTCTTAAATGAAAGACAATATGTCTTTTTTTTTTTTTTTTAAATCTAAAAATAAATGTTGATGTTTTAGTAAGAGGAGTTAATATTTATACGTAAAAAATGGCTAATGTAAAATCTTTGGGGAAAATGCATGCCAACGAATAAAAGGAAGAACAGGAAAGAATGAAAGAATGATTGTGACGAGACGAAGGAGATTTTCGTTTCCCCGAAAAAAGAAAAAAAAAAAAAAGGTGAACCTACATAAGTGTGTGTGTATCTTGGTTGAGAATGAAAAAACTTCTTCTCGTAATTTTAAAACAGTAGAAACAATCTCAATCTATTTGCCAACTTTGTTTTTGACAAGACGAAAGCAGAAATGAGCAAGAAGGAAAAAAAGAAGAAAAGAGAGCAGTCTTACTGGAAAAAAAAACACATAATAAGAAAGGAAGAAAAAAGGTTTTTTCCCATTTCGATCTCTTTCTATCTAACAACATTCTTACGTTTTAATGATGAAATTTCTGATGACGTGGATGAATGATGCAAGAATAGAACAGACAAACCCGATGATCGCTTTTGTTTCTTATGCCTACCGTACGATTATTAATATGTCTGTTAGAAGATACGTTTATATATTTATATATAAAGTAGAGAAAGAGAAAAAGAGAAAAAGAGAAAATGATGTTCTTTTGTCGTTCTTGCTCAACTATTGTAAAAATTTTTCATAGAAATCAATTTTTCTTCTTTTTCATTCTTTTCCTCACTATAAAATATTTTATATCTAAATTTCTCAGTTGATGCAATAACACGTTGATGATGAATAATTTTTCTTTCTATTTGAAAAATAAAAAAAAAACAAAATATTGACAATAACAAATGAATTGATAATGATCGAATTGTTTGTTTTTCGTTCTGTTTCTAGCTATTTATTTTAATATAAGATTTTAATCAAACATTTTCTTATCAAAGAAAAAACGGGACAAAGTGGTTGCTGTTCTGGGAAGTGGTTGAAGATTATTTTTTCTTATTTATTTTCTATGCAATACAAGGGGTATAATATCTCACATAGATGCCACGTCATATCTAACAGCTGACTAAACCCTATGAATCATTGGTATTATCTCTGACAATATAGATTCTACGATCTAGAAAATCATTCATATGATTCAAAAAAGAAATAGAAGAGTCGAAATAAACATTATTAACATAAATGTTATTTTAAAGAGAAACCTATTTAGATCTTCTTTCATAAAAAATGTAAACAGAAGAACTGACGCATATCATTTACTACTAAAGTGTCCTTGTTTTTTTTTTTTTCTTTAATTGCTATCAGTCAACAAATACTTTTAGAAATAAATGACACCAAAAAAGAAAATAATGAATGATAAAATTTTTTTATAAAAATAAAAAATAGAATATGTTATATTATTATGACAAATAAATCTCGACACGTTAATAAATAATATTAAATTTTATCAAATATATTTGCTTAATGGATTTTGTCATAAAAACAAAATTTTTCAAAAATTTTTGTATCTGATGGTTACATACGGATTATTGTTGTGATTTTCAGATAATATTTACTTAAATGAATATTTTTTTACTAATTTCTTCGTTGATGTTGTCGATAAGATCCATAACAATATCCTTCACGACAAGCTTGACATAAATGTTGATAATGGGGACCATGTGTTTGACTTCTTCGTTGTTGAAGTTCTTCCTCCGAAGAAGAAGAATATTGAAATATTGGTAATGTAAAATTTCGATCTGGATAAAAT